TGGTCGTACAAAATAACAAATATAATTTAATTATAGATGTAATTAGAAAAAGGTTTTTTTTTGGTATTGTACAGTTTAACTATACAATAATGTGTATAATATATGGTGTACCACCCAAATATAAATTCCCTAATTGGACAATCGGGGTGAAAATATACGTTTATGGCTAATAAATATGCGTATGCCGGTTTTCGGGGTTTTTATATTATGTATGACGATGTAGATACCTTTCATTCATATACAATAATAATAACCTATATTTATTTAATAAATATAAGTTATTACTTATTAGTTTATTTTATTACATTTACATTCTAGCATACGTATTATATCATATATATTATTTAATCGTCCTACGGACTTAAGACTAGTTAGGCGGTCGTTACGTAGATTTCGAGTTGCTCATATTATATATATATATATATATATATATATATATATATATATATTAACAATCTTTAGTTATATATAGACATATTATTACGGATCTAACACATTTATTGATACGCATGACATGTGTAGTATACAAGTACATTAGTATAATATATATAATACTATAGGACTGTAGCATCTGATAATAAGTAAGTATTTATTTGATTATTTCTCACGTGATGAGAGTGAAAAATAAATATAATATGTAAATATTATTGTCTGCAATAGTCAATATGACTATACTTGTCCTATTGTATCGTGGAATTTCAATCAATTTCCCTGATTTTTATGTACACGTATTTATTAAAAGCTTAATGTATGAAAATAAAAATATGTATTGTATTGTATATACACGGCGTATATAGGAACGAAATCGGTTTATAGAATATCCTCTAGTGTGATCTGTACTATCGTAATGAATACCGTTATAAATGATGAACGAATACAAAGTGCATTACGGTGATGATATTTTTAATAAGTTCAGCTTAACAGATAATCGTTGACACGACATATGACTCGAAAAACTATTATAAATTTCGAAATTATTTTACACCAAACTAGTAAATTTGATATAAATATATATACGTATATAATAAAATTTATATTTAAAATCGATCGACATACGCGGTTTATATATTTATTGGTTATATAGTTGGTAGATAACCAACACTATAACTATAACTATATTATAGATTTTTTTTTTTTTAATTGATAATCATCTGACACGCGAATGAAATGTAAATATTCGACAATAAAATAAAAATATATAGGTATTGCATAATATATAATATACAAACATATATATTTTAACTCTTTTAAATCGTATAAACCGAACGAGAAAATAAGACGATAAACTGATTTCAATCGTGAAATTTTAACGATAAGACAGGTTTGTTGGTAATTTTAATCTGTTTTTATTTGTATATTCTCGAAACTATTCAAGTATTTCCTTAGTGTTATGTACTTATAATGTACATATTATAAAAGTGGCGTACTAAGGAAGGGGCTTAGCCACTAAGGAGACAAATATGAAATTGTTCTAACCTATTCAGTAATGAAAAATTAAAATGTAAAAAAATAATAAATAATCTGATCTGAAAATTAATTGTAAATATAGGACTAAGAAAATATATCAGCAAGTAAACTATTATTTTACGTTATTAAATATTTTGAGTACCTACATATTATAAATAAGGCATTCAATATTATTTTATGTATTATTTTGGGTTATAGTTAAGGTTTAATCTAATCTAGTTTCATAGATCACAATTTTTATTTAGTTTTTATAGATTCTTGTTCCATTAGTTACCTATGCTATTTTAATGAATAGTATGGTTTATATAGGCTGAGCCCTATTATCATTATTAATCTTAACAAGTAGATATTTAATGCAGTGAGATGAAACACCCATACACAGATACACTGTGTAATAAGTATAATATTAATATATTATACGATGTGTTTATGTGTGAACGTATTAATATACATATATTTATACTATACACAGTATGTCTGAAGATTTTCAACAAATAGGTAGTTAACACGTGGCGCGTGGCACAAAATTAACTCGTTTCCAACTAAGCGGCGCAGAAAATCTAATGAAACGCGAGAAATAGACTTAAAATATTATTATCCATACAAAAACTTTAAAAAGTCACAAATGTTACCTTTATCATTAGTGATCATCTCGTCGCAAATTAATTGTGTATGTTGTGATTTTATTTTATTAAATTAAAAAAAATAAATAATATTTAATAATAATAAATGAGTTTTTTTTTTTTTTTTTGTTAACCCAACGGTTGATAGTTAAGTTTCATTTTGAATTTTATACTTGTTTACAGAAAAGTTAATAAGTAAATAATAAAAATTACTTTTTCTATAAAATGTATACTATTTAGATTCTAGATAACATTTTCGTTATTTTTTTTTTATCGCTTTGCCTTCATAACTTCTTTACCTATCGCATTAATATATATTAAATTTGATAAATAAAATGTTTAAATGAAAAAAAGACGTTTATACCAATATACAGAGGTTAGATTAGGTTTTTTTATTTAACATAACTTAACCTAATTGAATATGATCGGCTATGTTATAATTGTTCGCTGAATTGTTATGATTTATAGAATAGGTAACGTATTTTTGACTGACATTGACTTAGGATATTTATTGTTTAAACCAGAGATTTCTAATCTTTTTACGGGAAATCAAATCTGAGATACGCTTTGACATCAAGGGCTAAAAATTTTATAAATTTTTTAGTAAGAAGTGAATAAGTTAAAAACAATAAAATTAATATGTTAATTTAAAAACATTAATCAACTTGATGGACCGTAGACTAAAAACTTATGATTTAAATCATAATACCATTCCACTACACATACTTAAAAATACAAAAAGGAAAATAATAAATAAAAATACTGAATATTTTTTAATTTAATTTTTTGTTTTAATATATATTATTTTACTATTCTAAGCATAATAAATTATATAACCGTGTTTGATTTCATCCATATAGCACTTTAAAAATTAAACAATTAAGCATTAAACATTAGACTCATTAAAGAAACTCATTATTACTCTTTTCATAAATTTTAACAGTTTCTTAAAAAATAGAAACCACTTATACCAAGTTATAACAAGTTTAATAATAAAAATGTATTTTTATTTTCATATCACGAGAAATATAGCTATATAGATACTATCTATCTGGACGATTATGATTAAGTTAGGACATTACGTATCTATCTCAATAGTGGTTATTCATCCGGGAACCAGCTACTAGCGCCGTCAGGCAATTGGTGCGTCTATATACTCTATATACCTATGTGTTATAATTTAAAAGAACCCGTGCTCAATTTAAACATACTAAATAATTATATGAAAAAAAATAATAGAGTTGTTAACGCTTATAGTTTATTTTTAATTAAGAATTTATAAGTTGTATTAGGGCCCAATTTTTTTGGTTTTTCGAGTGTGGGTAGAAGGTGTGCAAATTTATGTACTTATTTAGCATTTTAACGAGTTTAGGTGCTGTACCTATTCCTCGATCATACAATAGTATACTTATAACTTATAAGATTGGTATTAAGTAGGTGACCTACCTATTACCGATATTTCTAAACATTTTGTTTGTTTTAATCATCGATCGTACTAAATAATAAAACTGGAGTCGATATTGTAAGTAACTTATTTACCAATTGCCTGTGGAGCTTATTTACGGGGAAGAAACAAGGGAAATATATCCTACCCTTGACCTTTTATTATTTATTCCAGCTTGGGTTTCTAACTTATTTGCTACGTGCTTAGCTCTAATTCGATTATATGTGTATTATGATGGGTCCGGGGTCCATCGAAAATTATACATAGGTATCTATTACTTAATATAAATAAAAAAAAACATTTATATTATATTATATATGCATATAAACTAGAGGTCTCTATTTCACGTGTACGAATTTTGTTATTACATCATGTAGAGTTTTATTTCCAATACATTTAGTATCTTCCAATGGTTTTCTAGTTTTTACATAGCGGTGATCAATGATCAATTATTTATTTCGAATCAACATCTTCACAGAAAGTATTATTTTAGATTGCAGTTTTTTCGCCTATTATCTATTATGAAATGTGTTTAAATTTTACATACATTTAAAAATAATTTAAAAAATATAAGAATTGAATAATGAAAACAAAATGTCATGAATAAAAAAGACAAAAATAAACTAGTATTAAACCGTAACTAATGGGCTGATCGGTTTGTACTGTTCGTAAAAATTTTCACGTCGCTGATGTGCATGTTGTACATCGCTCTATCGTCCCGCCTTTTTACGAAAATACTGTTTATGAAATATTTAGTTTTATAACAATAGGCACAGATATTTTTAATTTTTTATGGAAATTATTAACATATCTATTTAAATATTTTACTATAATTGTATTGGTACCTATGTTTAGTAAATAATATGTTTTAAATGCACGTGGAATAAATATTCGTGATTTACTAATATATTACATATAAATAAAATTCACGGATTTCTATGTATAAATACACGCGGACAGACAAAAAAACGTGATCACGTGAATCTTGATTCACGTTCAATTTTGAGAGCTCTGGTATATAAACTCCTAACTAAGCATTAATATTTTTGTGTATCTTATAAGTTTCAAATACCGTATGCCCGGGATAAAATAATTTATAAATTTAAATATACAAGCCTTAATAATTGTACCTCAAATGCAGTGTCGTAGTTATGGTAGGGGAGATAATGGGGATAGATCCCTCAGAACCTTTTTTTTTTTTTAATGTTTAATGAATTGGATTATACTTGATATAAGATTATAATATTACCATATTATGTTATAATCACGGATCTAATATTGTGCAATATAAGGGCATGGTTAAAAGCCCCCCGTTTTGTGTTTATCCAATACATCCTCCCCAGAACAAAATCATAGCTACGCCACTGTTATATCTAAATGTGTGTATGCTACACAGTGGTACGTATTATAATAATAATTGTGTCTTATAAATAATATTTTATTATAATGACGTACGGTCGCTGCAGGGGCATGCAGAAAGCGGCCGGCAAAGTGGACTGGAACGACGTGGGCGTTTGTCAGACGTTACGCAAAACCTACGGACTGGACTCGCGTCAAGCGCGCATTTGCAAGTCTTGGCGTCCAGTCATGCAGCACGTTTCCCGGGCCGCAGCGTTGGCCGTGGTCGCCTGTCAGTCGGTCTTGCAAAACAGACGGTGGAACTGTTCGTCGGTGCGGTCTGCGCCGGGACTCACGCCGGAGCTGGTCAAAGGTTGAAAAACTAGTTTATTAGTTATTTTTTTCAACAGTTTTTTTTCACTGTTTTTTTTTTTTCTTCTTTCTTTTAAGTGCTCCCGACGTATTCCCCGACACGTTATCATAATAGATCGAATCACCATACGACGTGTACGTACGGAGTGTAACAGAAATTGTAAACAACTTGCAAAATATGTAATCAACTAACACGTATTATACACCACGCAATACGTCTTTTGTTCTTAAACAAAAGTTTTAAATATTTTCTTTTTTTAAATTTAATTTTTATGATCATGTTAATAATATTTAAAAAATAATTATTAGAACCCTTCCTAATAGTTAACTTACCTAAATATAGTTATTAATTACATTTGTTATCTAGTTTTTTACATTCTATGTGTACCTATATTATTACCTATAGGCATTCGCTCCGTATCCGATTATAATATATATTATATATTATGAATATTTTAATTATATGCGTGCGGCGTATGTATAGGCGCGTTCGAACATCACATTTAATTTGTGATTCAAATACATACATCTTTTTCACAGACAAACATGACAAGTTGTATACAAGTCAACGACAGTTGTCATATCCTACAGGTGCATACCGCGCAGGATTAATAGGTTGTATAATCATATACCCGTTTGATGTTTGAACTCAACTCTCTCTCTCTCTCTCTCTCTTTCTTTCTCTCTCTCTTTCACTCCATCGCGTATATAATATACATTTTAATATAAGTTTTATCTGCAATGTGTTTGTCACAAATGGCACACTAGTCATTTTAAGGCGTGGAGTTAACCCCTAAAAATATCTTTATCAGACATTTTAAATCTTGTGTCGTTTACACGAAGTTATACAATGATTTTATAATACTATACGACAAACAACATTCGTCATTCAACATGTAATATTGTAGGCTTGCTTGACTTTACTATATTGGAAAATTACCTCATCACCCCTCAATATTCATATACATAGGTATACACTTTTATATACGAGAATTGTTATAATAATTAGAACTTTATGATAGACACGCACTAATTCACAAAATAATAAAGTATAAGCACTTATTATATCATAATTGCGTGAAAACGGTTTCTATACAAAATTATTTAATATTGAAAATATATTTTGTAAATAATTTAAAATACATACCTATAATTAATAGATATTAGTATTACATAATGTTATGCCCTGGCAACGAAATGTTATACTTATGACTACAAGTTATAAAATCTTTATTTTATTCAATTCCTTATCGTAAAGATCAGTGATCCCCAACCTTTTTTATTCTACGCCCCTTATAAATCTTCAAAAATCCCGCGCCCACCCCTTAAATTAGTTAAGAATAGGTTTTTTTTGTTTTTTGTTTTAGTGATACAAAATAATTATATATTATATAATTAATGACTCAATTTTTTTTTTCATAATTTCAAAAATAAAATATTAATCAACTTAATAATTAATAATATTATTTTTATATTTTTTAATATATCAATTTTATAAATATTTTTATATTAAGTAGGTATTGAATGTAGAATAAATTTAATGGGGAATTTCAAATTGTTTTTTCTCAATAAGTCTACAGTTTGTAGGGATGTTTGATAATACTTTTACTGATTGTAAAATGGCATAATTATTTTAACAAAATTCTCATTATTTCATCATCACTGTATTCTCCTCGTTAAGTATCTAAATACCCCCCTCCCCCGATTGGGAACCACTAGCTGGTATAGATTAAGTATCTGATAAGTATGATATATTGTTAGGCTCCATAAAGGGGTGCAAAACCTATAGATTCTAATCAAGGAAACAATTATGCCTCTACAATGTTGAGGTAAACTATTTTAGTCCATAAATAGGTAGCTAAGTATTTATGTCCTGCGCCTTAATATTTATTTATAAATTTACTAACACAAGTAACAGAAAATAAACGTCTCACGAATGATCAACAAGAGATAGTACCTAATACTATATTACAATACAATAATATCTATTCATAATAAACCTATTGAATTCGATGTCGCCATATAATTATATAATACACTGCTGCAGGCACGAAAGAACAGTCATTCGCATACGCGCTCAGCTCAGCTGCACTGACGTACACCATGACCAGGGACTGTGCATCCGGAATGTTATCAAGCTGCGGGTGCGGCACTCACCCGGAAGACACGGATGGCACATTCAAGTGGAGCGGGTGCGACGACAATATCCGGTGGGGTGCCAAGTTCGCCAGACAGTTTGTGAAGAAAGAAAACCCTTTGGCGGCAATAGTATCGGGTGAATACAAAGATTGGGGTGGTGGCGGTAACGACGATGACGATGTCGACGACTTGCTGACCAACGCCAACGAAGACGCGGTATGGCGTGAACAGAGAGCCATGTCTATCATCGACGAACACAATTACAAAATAGGTCGAAAAGTAAGACACTAATTACTTTGTAAGCATAAATTGTACCGAATAATGTGTATATTTACGTATATACTCCATAGTCTATAATCTATATTTATCTCGACCTTTATAGTAGCGCTAATTTGTTTGTAAGCCATAAGGGGTAAGAAAAATGTCTAAACGCACCAAAATCTCACCTGCATGCACAAAAGTATATCACCAATTCACCATATACATATAGGTACCGCGGTAATATATTTTACAATACACATAATTAATTAATGCCCTATTTACAAGAGTATATACCAGGGGTGGCCACAACGAGGCTCGCGAGCCGCATGCGGCTCTTAAATTAGTTTCGCGCGGCTCTTGAACTAAATTTAGACTAAAATTAATAAATTTAAAATTTGTTTGAATCGTTAAAACGTTAGATAGCATTTTTATTGCCATCGATTTCGTTATCATTACAGTCGTTATTAGGTATAGATTGGCACGGCGGCGGTGCTTTTAGTATGTGTAGGCAAAAATGTGTCTTCATTTCATAAACATTGCTTTACAATGCGGCTCGCCTCGAATTAGCTTTATAAATTTTCGGCTCCCAAAGTTAAGGTTAATGGCCACCTCTGGTATATACAATGTACAAATATGATGATTGATGATATATTATACACAATATCGGGAAATTTTACAATAACACATAGGTAAATTACATTACAAAATCATATAATAATACATATAGTATATGCATGCGTATAATGGGTACATTTTATTACTCTACAATCATTTTTTTTCTGATATTGAACAAAAAGCAAATACAAATCCTAATGTCATTTACCTTCACGGCTGCACAAGTACTAGATATCCACTCAATAAAAATTTTCTAATAGATTTATCCCATTTGGTACCTTTCTGGTTGATACCTAGTCGACATCGGTGCTACTGGATCTAGATATATGCGACTACATACATCCTAGTAGTGATATCGGAGTATTTAACCACAATACCACATAATGTTTATATCGGGCAAACACTAGCTATTTAATTTTAATATTGCCACCTGCATAGCTGTTCTCACTAGATTATGGTAATGTTTATCGTATATGTATGTATCAATGACGATTGGTATCTTATTCTGCTAACTTTTTTTGTGCTGTAGAAATCCTTAAAAAATATTTTCACGCAACCTATCAATCGCCACAGTAGATATACTATTCAACAACCACTTATTTATAGTATACACCTTTCCACAAACATAGGGTTAGGCGCCACCACCCGAGTTAACTGATTGTCAACTGGAAATCCGTTAATATACTTGTAGATTTTTATCTCATGCATTAGGCAAATCAATTGTTAGCTGATGAATGTTACTGAATCTAAGTGCCTAGTCATTTATATCTATATGTATTTTTGCATTTTTTTTAACCTATAACCGCTATAATATTACCTAATGGCTAACTATTCCATATTTTAATTAATAAGTACTTATACGTGGGATGCATCTGTATTGTGTATATGATTTTGACCTTATCAGTCAAGAAAATGCATCTCATTGTATATTTTGTATTGAAAATGTATTAAATTAATTCATTAGAAAAAAAAATTAAAATAAAGTAGTTACAACAATTTATTACCTATAAATTATGATGAAACTATTAATGGGTTAGCTAGTCGCAGACAAATTATTTAGTTCAATATTATAACAATTGCGGACACAAGTTTCATTGTCATAATACTAATTGTAAAAATCAAGTTAAATAAGAACCGCGTGAGTTGCGGACACAAATATTCAAAGAAATTGTTAGGTGGGGTTAATGTTGGTAAATGTCATCTATTCGACAGTGTTTTTACTCGTTTTAAATTTCGAACAGCAGTACAATTAATTTACATATAACTACCACACTGTACTTCACTTAAAACCTCGATCAATTGATATATATTGTGGTGACTATTATAAATTAATAAAACATACCTTTAAGTTCAGCATGAAAACTTTCACGTGCATTTGGGACTCATGAAATTGAATAAGAAAATTCTGTTTATATTTCTGAAGGGAACATTGCAGAATTTGTTTTTGTTTGGTTCAATAACACATAATCTGTAAAATCATGCATGGCGTACAGTCAGTCTGTAAAACAGTTATCCACTTCGATTAATAACATAAATGAAAGCCTGAAAAATGTTTTTAAAAAGTTTCTCTTTTCATCCCTAGTACTGTATATATATACCTACTTAAGCTAAATTTAATGATTCCATTTTTCTGTACCGATCATGTTCGAGATGGAACCGACATCCTTTAATTGTTCTTATTAGCCATACTAGACGAACAGCTGCAAGTGAATAGATTTTTCAAAATCAATATTAATAGTTGTTGGTAGTATTGGAGAACGTTGTTTTAATAAGAACTTAATTAGGTACAATAATCAGTAGGTAACTAATTTGCCTTCCAATAAACAAAAAAATAATGGTATGTACCTGAATACTATTTTTTATGCCATGAACCAAAAATAATTAATAAGTAAATTAGATGAACAGCTTGGATAAGTACCATCTATCAAAATAGTAACACACTTTTGGAAAATTTTGAATTTTTAACATCAGAAAACTCAATACACTTATATTACTTATACTTGTGTCGACTGTCAATACTCAATAGCAATAATCCATATTTCACTTCTCTTCACACTTAGTGTTTAATTTATCTACTTCATTAGGTACTATCACACACAATTTTAAGTGTTTTTAGGTAATATTAGATATTCTAGTAGTGTGAATATTTTTTTGGATCAAATTTATATCTTTTATGTCTAATATACTGTTCAAATCATCTGGTAAAATCTCAAAATGTATAATTTTGTTGGGATGTTCACATAACTGTTCTACCGCTTTGTGTTTGGCATTATTGCTTATTTTCTACCGTACAAATGATTGTTATTCAATGGTTATGTGGTTAATGTTCAAGATTATTTTCCATTTAAGCACTATATGTATCAAATTTTAAAAATGGATTCCTTTTTTTTTGGTTTATGCCCCCGCCGTTGAATTGTATTGCGCATTTTTCAATGAAAACAGAACCCAATCACGTATAATTTTTTAAGTTTTTCACTGTACACATTGTAATTTTAAATAAAGGTTATCGTTGTAAGATCGTCATTAAACTGATTTTATAAATTTTTTGACGGTCGTCTCAAAAATACAGGCACAATATTAATGTTGATAAATAATAGCTATATAGAAAAAGACAAAAATAATAATTGGAAATTTATCCGCAATTAGTATGTTAATGTTACTTTTTTAAATTTCGTCCGCTACTCACATGATTTTAATTACTTTGTCCGCAATTATAAAACACAAAATGGGTCCAGTATGTATAGCTCTCCTTGGATGTCGATATTATTTAAAGTTAATTGTTTTGAGCAAAATGATGGCACGGCATTCCATTTTTTTATTTACCTACTTATTCCCACGGACCAACAATTTTTGTTAACTAGTAAATATTTAAGTTAAATAAGATTGGTCAAAAAAAAAAAAAAACCGACTAAAACTGTATTGTATCCTAAAGAGAAATATTAAATGTGCGTAATGAACCGTGCGTCGTATGAACAATACATAATATTTATATGCCAGACAAAAACTTACAGAAGAATGTCGGTGCGGCGATCTGTTCCGCAAGGAGATCATATTGCTACAACTTATGTTATTTTAATTTTTTTTCAGGTGGTCGTATCAAGTGTGAAAACCCATTGCAAGTGTCACGGCATGTCAGGATCGTGTAACGTGAAAACGTGTTGGCGAGGTCTGCCGAATAAATTCATTGGTGTAGGCATCAAGTTGTTAAAATTGTACAATAAAACACCAATGAAAGTGGAAATGATTCAAGTAATTCGATTCGGACTTCCAAAACACACGGACAGTTCATTAGTTTATATTACAGAATCTTCAGATTATTGTAATTACGACCAGAAAATAGGCAGTTATGGAACAGTCGGCAGGTATGAAACGTTGTTACCTAGGTATAATTAATATTTTATTAAAATGGTTTTTTCCGTCTTTAGAAAGTGTAATTCTACAGCAGTTGGTACTGAAAATTGTCTTACTATGTGCTGTGGCCGAGGATACACTACTCAAATCATTGAACAAACAGAACGCTGCCAATGCAAATATCATTGGTGCTGTTATGTAAATTGTCAAAATTGTACTAGTCTAGTAAAGAGGCAAATTTGTAATTAATTGTATTGATTTATATTTAGTTAAAACTTTGTGTTATAAAAGAATTTTTTAGTTTTTTTTTATAATTACCTGGTAAAAAATAAATAAGTATAGACAAAGTTTACCACAGTTAAAATAAATTTAATATCTTTATTTATTCATTTATTATTCTTTAACACATTATATAATCAAAAATTAAATTAACCAAAGGTGTAAAAATTATTGGTTTAAATTATGAATATAAAATAGACATATAATTATAAAACTGGAGATCATTTGAATTGTGTATAACATTTTTCAAATATAAATCCATTATAATTCTGTGTGTTCTTCTGTTCCTAAAATATAAAATAATTGAATAAATAAAACCATTAAAAAAATACAAATGAAAAAATTGACAATTGTCATTTCTGTTTCTTACAAAAGTTAACTCAAACAAGAGACTTTTGTGCACAGCAATGGCAATAGGCATTTACTAATGTTGTGCACTCAAGAGCATCACTTTATTGTTTCAACAATTATTCAGCTTGCATTAGGTTAAGATTAACACTGTAGGCAATTTTTCAGCCATGACCAACTCTTGAAAATAAAAGTTGGCAGTATATAACTCTGATTCATTAAGGGAACTAGTTCGACTGAACCAAACAAATATTGATTATCACCTGAGGTTACTCTTATATTAGACATATAGTAGTACACATTTTTACACTATCCTCATATACAAATACCAATTACCTTTAGATTGAGTTTCAACATTAAAAACTTCATCTTCATGTTGACTTTGCTTTATTTGTAATTTTTTTATTTCATTATCATAATCTTTCCATTCACTAACAATTCGCATTGCTGCGGTCAACTTGGCTTCTTTGGTTAATGGATTATTACACTATTGTTATAGTAAAAATTAATGTATTAAAAAAGTCATCTTAATATTTATAAAAAGAAGGTTTACTAAAATAATACTTACAAGATCAATCGTTTTGGCTGTTTTTTTGGATGCATCATCACACCATGTTTCACACCAAAGCCATTCTTGCGGCAAACTTTTAATAGAAACTTGGTGAATCATGTTATTTGGTAAATCCTTTAAAAACATAACTTTAAAGATTCTTTTCTTTTTATTATTATTATTATTTTATCTTACCTGATCTAAATTTGATAAACTGTTTGGATCTTGACTAAGAGCTTGGTACTGACCTCTTAATCTATCACCAGCTGCTACTTTTCTAAAACGTTTTAAATCTACCACATACAATGCACTGATATGATAACGACGACCTTGTAAATGAGTTTTCCAATAACCTTGTTTCCAAAATCTTTAAATAACAATGCATTTTAAAATAAAATTTAATATTATTTTTAGACAAAATTAACCTGAAGCCATCCATTTCTTTACGACTTTCACAAAATGGAGTGTATGCATATGGCGCACCACCTAAATCTAAGTCAACTAATTCTTTCATATCAGCTCGTACTACTTGATCAGCATCAACGAATATAATTTTTTTTACATCTAACGGAAAAAGGACGTCCAAAAACAATATTTTATAACCCCATATAGTTCTTTGTTTTTCTGTTTGTTGATGGAGCCAACGAGGCCATTTATATTCAACTAATTCATATTCAAATTTATACTCTTGAGCCATAATAGGAAGAAAGTTCTAAAATAAAAAAATTACATGAATAATACTTATTGAAACATGCATTATTAACTCATTACATAAAATAATAAATAAAAATACCTTAACAGTTGGAGAAAGATAATTTTTAAGAAACCAGAATTTTACTGGAGATTTAGTATGTTTTAACACACTTAACATCATTATTCTTAAAAATCTTTCATATAAATGCCCTGAAGCAACAGAAAATATGTTGATAGTTTCATCAGTTGATTTATCAGGCGAACCTGAGCTGAAAGAACTATGAAAGAATATATAATATATATTAAATAGTACAATGTAATAGAATTAATAAGATATTTAAATTAATATTTAGGAAAAAAAATTAACTTTATAATATAGTCTGCTCAGTGAAAGAATACAGAGATTGTACAAAAATTGGTTTTTCTACTTATCCCCACACGACACCCAGACACCGAGACTGGTTACACAATGGTGGGATGTAACATGGGGATGCAAAAATTGATAAAGTTTAGATTAAATGAAAAAGTATGTTTTCATAAATATATTAACTTGAATAACTTAAAAAATATATATATTGAGTATAAACTATCTATTTGTGAAAATAAATTATTTATGAAAAAAAAAATTACGAGCAGTAATGATTAGTGATAACTAGGGCTCGGATTTCAATGCAAAATGCATATTTTTTTGGTTGATCTTACACAATGCGTTTCTAGTACATAATCCATTTCATGTAACGAGAGTTTCATAGCTACAAATTTTATATTGCATTTTTTTGCATATTTCGACATTTTTTTTATTTTTAGAGCATTTGTAGCATTATTGGGTCATTTTTTTGGTTTTAAATGCATATATGTTCAATATACTACATAAATTTAGCCAATTCAAAATATTATCTAAAAATAAATTATTCGATTCAGTTTTTATCTTATTTTATCTAAATTTATTATTGACTGTAGAACATCACCCGTGTCTCGTATTCGGTCATTATTATTACAAATAATAAGTACAATAGGCTTACTTAGAATTTAATTTATAATATATACGTATTTTGGTATGTTTAGAATGAATAATATTTCTCCAGAACGGCCAAAAAATATGCGAATCAACATCAATCAAATTTTCGGTTTTTTTTTTTAATGAAATAATAAAAAATAATTAAATCTTATTTATAAATTAAAAATTGTATAAAAAATGATGCCATTGTTTCATTTTTAAGGTCATTTTTGTGGAAAAATGCATTTTTTAAGGGCATTTTTGGCTATTTTTTTAGAGAACATCAGTATGGTTTAAAGTACATTAAAATCCGGGCTCTAGTGATAACCAATACAAATTATTAGTTACATTTATTCACCATCACATCAGTATATGAGAAACTTAAATTTATTTTTTTATTTACCTGGTAATTGAATTCCAAAGCCCTTTGTTTTCAGTATCATCATCACCCAACACATTTAAACTCTGTTTACCAGGTTTTTTGGCAACTTTGACTTTAATTATGTGAGAACGAAATGAACTTATCAGTACTTTGATATCCATACTGTTTGGTGAACGGTCTGATCCTTCGTGAGAAATAATGTCATAAATATCAGCTGAAGGGCCTTGACGGAGTCTTAACATCCAAGCCCCAGGGTTAGCTTTCATTTGAAAATAACCTAAGTTGGCCATAACTATTGTATCCACCATTACTGGACTCGACTTTGTTCCTAGTGTCATTTGAAGACCACGAGGTGGATTCATGTTAACAGAATCATAACAATGACCCTCAAGCAGCAAATATTCCAGTTCATAACGGCTAAATAAATAAACCAAAATAATAAAACATTGAAATGTTAATTTATCATTAAAAAAGTTATGTTAAATTTTACTTACCTATAAACACCCATTTCAACATCTTCAAGCCGAATGTTGTCAAGATCATATGGAGATTCAATAGATTCAACTAACCAATTATCAGGTACATGAAGTATTTGTGTTAATAGTGGACTAGTGGGCATATTAGAAAACTTTGCTATTGGATCAGGGGATAAATGACCAGACTTATCAAAAATGACTTCAGGCTCAAGCACAAAACGATAAAAACTGAAATATAAAATATATAAACAAAAGTACATTAAAAAGTATTAGGTTTATTTCTTACCTTTTAACAGGCATATCACTATTCTTATCAACACAATTTAAATATACATTTATATTAGCATTGAGTACTCGTGATAAAACAGAAATAATAGAGCCAACTTTTTGAGCACCCCTAGACACAGGGTCAACAATGACATTGATTTCAAAAACTGGTTCATCTTCATTGTTAGCAGATAATTTAATTACACTTCATTAAAAAAAAAAAAAAAAAAATGTATTTAACAGTTGATATTTTTCATGAATACTATCTATGGGTTTTAGTATCTCATTGTTTTACAATAAATCTATAAAATGTCATTAACTCATAAATATTTTAAATCATAATATTTTACCTATGTTTAGTAGAAACATCGGGCATAGAATGTCGATTTTTAGTTTGAGAACGGCTACTAATTAAGGCACTTGCTTTCATTATCATATCACTTGTAATATCTAATACATCTATAAATAATACAAAATAGTTTGAATAAAATAAAATGTTATTTGATATTTTAATAAGATACTTTAACTATATTACTTTTAAACATATTAACTCACACAACACTTAAAAATTATATTTTAAGTAATTAATATATTTTTAAGTTTTAATTTACCTGATTCTTTAAGTATATTCAGAATTTTATTTACACTGCCCTTTAGTGTATGTTGTTCTAATAAGGCAAAGTCATCAGTTAAAAAATCTTCATCTTCATCAAATGGACCTAAAATACGTCCATTTGTGATTACGCCACATTGTCCACTTTCAAAATTCAATGCTTCTATAGCAAAGCTGCTATACGATTGTATATCTATTTTGGACGCTTCAAAGTGTATTTCTTCCTACACACAATTAAATTTAACATTTAAAATTATTTTAACTAATATTTTAGATTACTATAAACAAACAGTTTAAATCTTACTGGTAATGAATTTATAATTTCAATATGGTTTTTATCAACTTTAATTGCTTGTGATAAATGCTTAACTAATATATTCAATTTATCTTCTTGTTTAAAAGCTTCAAAAACTATTTTATTTATTTTGATTGTATGTTCATCATCATTTGATGGATTGGGAATTACACCTATACGTGATTCAGAATCAGATTTCTGTAAAAACAAAAAAAAAAAATATTAAAATAAGTAAAAGTTAAAACAAATGTAATTTTGATACATCCTAAATTCACAAAATTTATAAAAGGTAAAGTATGAGAAATAAAAATATGGAACAAAAAACTAATAAAATAACTTTTTAGTTAAACTATAGAATAATCTTTTATAATTACATCATTGTACCTTTAAAAATAGTAACATTTTT